GCCGGGGGCACGAAGATGGCCAGGCGAGTGCTGGGGCCGGCGGCCACGTGCAGGCCAAAGTCGGCCAGGAGCACGGTCTCGACGCCGTGTTGGACCAGGCACACAGCCTGGCCCGGCAGGCAGAAGGGCAGCGTCACCTCCGCACCGTCCACCTGTGGGAGAGAGCGGCTCAGATGGTGGCGTGCAGGGTGATGTGAGCGCCCACCGGGTGCCCAGTCATCTGCCCACCTGGCTCTCCATCCGTCTGCCATCCCTTCTCCATCTATCCATCCATCCCCACTTCTCACCTATCCATCTATCCATACGCCCACTTATCTGTCTAACCATCCCTTCTTCTCCAAGCATTTGTCTACCTGCCTGCTCATCCATCCACCCACTTACCCATCCAGCCATCCTTTCTCCTCCATCCATTCATCAAAGTGTCCAGCCATCCACCATCTATAATCTTCTCCATCCATCTATCCTTCCACCCTTGCTCTTCTTGATCCCTTCACCCATACTCTTCTCCATCCATCCACCCATCTGTGCTCTTCTGCATCCATCCCTCCATCCATGCTCTTCTCCAACCATCCATCTCTCCACCCTTCCTCTTCTTGATCCGTCCATCTATACTCTTCTCCATCCCTCCATCCCTCCATCCGTGCTCTTCTGCATCCATCTGTCCCTCCATCCTTGCTCTTCTTGACCCCTCCATCCATGTTCTTCTGCACCCACCCCACCACCCATTCTCTTCTCCATCTCTCTACCATCCCATGCTCTCCACCATTCACCCGTGCCTCCATCACCTGCCCAAATCTCCCCATCCCTCCTCCCTCGCCACCCGCCGCACCTCCATGACACCGGGCCGCCCGCTCTGCAGGACAAATCGGTGCTTGTACACAGTGATGGTGACCGTCCGGGTGCCGGTCCGGGCTCCAGGGCTGTCCTGGGGGCGGTCATCCACGCTGACGGTGAAGGCGGGCAGGGTGCCGGGGGGGCCGCAGCTCTGCGCCACCACGTAGGAGCAGTTCTCCCGCACGGAGAAGGCGATGCCGTCAAAGCTGCTGTAGTGCCAGGCCCCCGTGGACCGGCATGTCCCCAGGGTGCCCAGCACCGGCCCCGGCACCTGCTCCGGCACTGGCGCACACCCTGGGGTGCCACCAGGCCGGGTGGGTGCCATGCAGCCCTCGCGGCAGCCCGGGGTGCAGCCTGGCGCACAGATGGCGTAGCGGGTATCCGGGGGACAGCGGGGTGCTGTGGGGAGAAGGCAGCGTCAATGACGTTATCCAGCCCACCCAGATGCCTGGGTCCCTCCCGAACGCCTGGGTCCCTGGGGTGCTCTCGGGGAGGTACTTACGGCAGAGTCCCTTGGAGCGCCACTCCAAGACCTTCCTCCCGGCCTCCTGGCAGGCGGCGACGTAGGCGGCGAGGACCCGGCAGACAGCGCCCGCCTCGCCCTTGTACCGACAGTGATCAGTGACGCAGTCCCGGAAGTAGGTTTCAGGGTGAACGGCCCCGTGACACAGCCGGAAGGGTCCATCCTTTTTCAGCAGCAGCCCGCATTCCCCGCCGTGGTCCCGCTGCTTCCACTCAGGCCGTGCCACATTCCCGCATCCCGTCGGCTCCGCCTCGCCGCAC